GGTACCTGCCATCCAGGGTGCTGGCAGCATCAGGCTGTTTCTCTGGGGCGGATCTCAGAGCAGAAGCTCCCGTAGGCAGAGGAGGAGGGGCAGTTCCTGGCCCTTGTACAGTGGTGCAGACCCACCCCTGAGATCTCTGATGGGCAAATTCTCAATATTGGGTGCAGTGTTTTCACTATTCCATGGCTCCTGTTTCCCTCCTGCAGATGGGGATGGTGTGTCGGCTGCTCCAGCTATCGGTTTTAAATGCCCTCCATGACAAAGCTCTGCAGCTTCTTTGCAGCCTGGAGGAAACAGATTGTTCCTTCTCGCTCTGCACCCACAATCCCTGCAGTGAATCTGCCCAGTGCCTGGGCCAGACACTGGAGCTGGGAGGAGGATTTGCCCCCATGGGTGAGGTTCAGAGTCACTCAGCTGGCTGGGCTGGGGCCATGCTGGGAGCTGAGCTCTTCTGAGCATCAAACCCAGTTGTGGGTGTGGAGCTCTGTGGAAAATCTGCCCCATGGCCCCAACAGCCAGCTGCAGGCTAGTCACTGAGTAACACCCAGGGGTCTGGGTGGGCTTGTACAGCCCGTGCTGCTGCGGCTTCATACCTACCAGTCCCCCAGCCAGCCAGATCAAAGCTAGCCTGGGTGTGTCTACACACGGTGCTGTCACACCTTCATTTCAGTGTGGACACCCCCTGAGTGAACAGAGCCAGGGGCAGGTCAGAGTAAAGCCAGGCAGCGCTCGGCCACTTCACAGCCTCTGTTGCCATCACGTGGCCGCTTCATCCCAGTCACCTGCTACTGTTACTGTGACTTTACCTGTGCTTGTCTGTAGCAGGTGATGAACCCATGGGACACAATGTCTGTTCCGGTTCACCTGCCTTTTACAGTGAAATCCCTGCAGAGAGTGTGGGGGGTGTGAGGAAGGTGCCAGCAGCAGGGATGAGAGGTGGAAGTTCCAGCACTCAAGCAGCTGCCTCTTCAGAAACAGAGCACAGCCCCTCCCCCACCACACAGGGGGCTGGACAGACAGACGGGTTAGAGCCCTGCACAGAAGGGGGGGTGGGGGTCAGCGCAGGGCACAGACTGAGCTGAGCTGTAGGGGAGCTAGAGAGGCCAGTGCAGAGCAGCCAGCCCCTCCCCCAGCCAGGATCAGCACCGGCTCAGCATCGTTCCCACGGCTCCTTTCAGAGAGCAGGTGGGGACACAGCTGGAATCAGCCAACCCGCTGCTCTGTGAGCCTAGAGGGATCCCTAAAGGCTGCGATCCCAGGGGCACTGGTCACATGGGCATGGGGCACTCGACCAGGCTGGGTGAGGCCAAAGCCAGCCCTGACAATGCCCTGGGTGCCCAACACCCACGTGAGCCCCAGGCTGGCACCCAAAGGACTATTAGCACCAGCCCAAGGTCCTGAACTTTGCAGCCCTGGGAGCAGGTTGTCAAAGAAGGAGCATCGCCCACATCTCACTGTGACGGCTCCCTGTGGTGTCTGAGGGCAAAGCACTGGGCACCCAAATCCCCCCACGTACGCCCTGTGCAGCCCCCTGTAAATCTCTCCTGTTCCCTCGATTTCTCCCCACTCCACTGTGTCCATCCCATGCCACCTGCAATAACATACTGCGGCTTTACAAAGCACCCTGGACAACTCCACTGTAGAACTGGCCTTATTAACTCTGAACTAAAACAAACCCTTTATGGTACGTAAATATCCTTACAAACCTGATACTGACCTAATATCCCCTGCTTCATGGTCAGAGGCCCAGTCCGTGTAACTCAACATCCGGCTCATGTTTTCTATGTGCCTTTCCTATAATTCTATCTCCAGAGGAATGTGAAGAACAGGAGAGAGACGATTGCAGGTGAATTTAACAAACTGCACACGCTACTGAGAGAGGAGGAGCAGCTGCTTCTGCAGAGACTGGAGGAGGAGGAGAGGGAGACTCTGCAGAGACTACGGGAAAATGTCACCAAACTCTCCCAGCAAAGCTCCTCTCTGCAGCAGCTGATCACAGAGATCGAGGAGAAGTGTCAGCAACCAGTTGTTGAGCTGCTAAAGGTGAGACGGCATCAAAATTCTCCACCATACAGAATTATATCTCAGATCCCTGGATCTGGATCCCAACAATGAGAGTAAATGTGTTCTGTGGTTACAGACAAACAGAACATCCGGCTAAGGGCTCCATCAGTTCCAAAATATGGCTGTTCATGTTAGAGGGGAATTCTCCTCCTGGAGACCCAGTGAAGCCGTGGGAGAGTAAATGGATGATACAAAAATGATACTGAGCTAAACCCATCCCTGCTCTGACCCCAGAACATTGGACCCAACACAGTCGATAAACACAGATACTGATGGGTTGGGTCCCTAGAAGGGAGAAACCTTCAGCTAAATTCCTGTCTCACCTACATAAATGAAACAAGTATTACTGC